AGTTGATTCTTTAAAAAAATAAACAAAATTGACATGCCTCTTGCTAGATTAACAAGAAGAAGAAAAGAAGAGACTCTAATAAGCTCAATCAGGAATGAAAAAGGAGAAATTACAACTGATACCATGGAAATACAAAATATCTATGAATTCTATAAAAACCTCTATGCACGTAAACTTGAAAATGTGGAGGAAATGGACAAATTCTTAGAAACGCACAGCCTCCCTAGGCTCAATCAGGAAGAAATAGAATTCCTGAACAAACCAAACTAAAATTGAAACAGCAGAAAAACTTTCCTAAAAAGAGAAGTCCTGGACCAGATGGTTTCATAACTGCATTTTATCAGACCTACAAAGAAGAACTGGTGCCTATCGTGCAGAAATTATTCCACAACATTGAAAAGGAAGGAATCCTTCCAAACATATTTTATGAAGCCAACATCATCCTGATACCAAAACCAGGAAAAGACGTAACAAAAAAAGAACAGACCAATATCCCTCATGAATATACATGCAAAAATTCTCAACGAAATCCTAGCAAACAGAATTCAGGTGCTTATGAAAAAAAAATAATCCATCGTGACCAAGTGGGCTTCATCCCAGAGATGCAGGGATGGTTCAACATACACAAATCTATAAATGTAATTCACCACATAAATAGAAGCAAAAACAAAGACCATATGATCCTCTCAATAGATGCAGAAAAAGCATTCAACAAAATTCAGCACCCTTTTATGATAAGAATACTTAACAAAATAGGCATAGATGGTACTTAACTAAAAATGATAAAAGCCATATATGACAAACCCACAGTCAACATCATACTGAACGGGGAAAAATTGAAAGCATTTCTGCTTAGAACTGGAACCAGACAAGGTTGCCCTCTATCACCACTTCTATTCAACATAGTGTTAGAAGTTCTAGCTAGAGCAGTCAGACAAGAGAAGGAAATCAAGGGCATCCAAATGGGGGCAGAAGAGGTCAAACTATCGCTCTTTGCTGATGATATGATCTTATATTTAGAAAACCCCAAAGATTCTGCCCTGAGACTACTGGAATTGATAAATAAATTCAGCAAAGTCTCAGGTTACAAAATCAATGTACAGAAATCAGTAGCATTCCTATACTCCAACAACAGTCAAACTGAGAACGAAATGAAAGACTCAATATCCTTCATAACAGCAACAAAGAAAATAAAATACCTAGGAATATATTTAACTAAGGAGGTGAAAGACCTCTACAGGGAGAGCTATGAAACACTGAGGAAGGAGATAGCAGAGGACATATATAAGCGGAAAACCATACCATGCTCATGAGTTGGCAGAATCAACATTGTTAAAATGTCTATACTACCCAAAGTGATCCACAGATTCAATGCAATCCCTTTTAAAATACCGACATCATTTTTCACAGATCTAGAAAAAATAATTCTATGCTTCATATGGAACCAGAGAAGAGCCCGTATAGCAAAAGCAATCTTAAGCAAAAAGAACAAATTGGGGGGCATCAATTTACCAGACTTTAAGCAATATTACAAGGCTACAGTAACTAAAACAGCATGGTACTGGCACAAGAACAGAGATATAGACCAATGGAACAGAACTGAGAACCCAGATATAAAACCATCCTCATATAGCCAT